GCTGCTTTCTCTGCCAAATGCAGCCATTCGTTGGCAAATAATTCGACACTACCATCAGGCACGTCGTCGAATACGTTCCGACGGCGACGACGACGATGGCGCGCGGCGGCTGTCATCGATTTTTCATCGCGTTTCCGCTTACTCGATCTTTCATATTTCAACTGCTCGATTGTGATACTGGCGCGCACAATTTATTTACCTTCCGTTGATCCGTATCTCGTGATTTGCGTGGCTCGTCCCGCGTGTATCGATTATCGCCGACGCCGGCTATTACCTCTGGGATCGTGCGACTATTTCGTGCGAGTAAATGGACGAGGCTGCACGAGAGAAAATTCGTTTCGCGGTATCGCACGACCGATATATTCCACGCCAGGATTCCGCGGAATAACGCTCGTGTCCCCCGCGCGTCATGCATTATTTCCGCGGCCGCGATTCCTCGATCAGCGAAGCGTTTTCGCTATATACCGCAGAAAAATCCGGTAAATCGATTCGAGGAATAATACGTGGCCCCGCGAAAACGAAGAAAGCAAATAGTAGTCGAGGAAGGACAGGATTTATCAATATGGATCCATCTGAATTTAACGAACACGAATTATTCTCTATGCGACGTACCCACGTTAGATGGGCCCCACAGTTGTCCGCGTCGTCACAAATTTGTTCAAAGTATCTCAACAATGTAAAAATGACGTTATTATTACGGTAAGTTGAAAAGGAGTACAACGCCTCCCTCCCCCACCCCCTCCCCCCGCGATCACAAACACACTCTCTAAATCAGTGGATGATCACTGGATGATCGGTGAGCCAAATATGCCGCTGGTAATCAGTGAATGAAATGTGAGATCCCTAATCCATCTAATGTTTATGACGTGGTCTTAACTAACCTTGTTTTAGTGCGTAAATTTAGTGAATAATGGTATTAGGAGATTGAAATTAACATGCGGATGTATCTGTATTTTAATTGTACAATGCTCAAATATTTTTCCTTTTTTTAGTTGAACTTCACTGATTATCCAGTGCCAAGTATGCGTAATTAGTGACTAATATCCACTGATTCAGATTTAGAGAAACACGCATGTGCCTTTTTTATGTACTGTACACGAGTAACAAATTATCTAACGCTGGGTGCTTCGTTATCACGTATCCACCTGAATTCAATGAACACGAATTCCTCTCGGTAGCGATCGAACGTAGATCGCTACGGAGGCTAAACGTTACTTGATCGGACGAGTCTCTTGAACGGACGAATTATAGAAACAGAGCGCTTCTTTGACGCGAGCAATGTACTTTCCGCGTTGCGCCAGAAACGTAATATAAACGTTATGAAAAAAAAAAAAAAAAAAAAGAACCGATTAAGCGCGAAACGGTTTACGGAAAACACCGCTGTACATTTAGGTCGAAGTTTACTGCCGCATTTTAAGATCATGGCTAAACGTTTTTCTCTGTATATCGGAACGTAACATTTTAACGATGATAAACGCGCTGAAACGTCCGTTAGGCGTTAAATCAGATTCGTTCAAACGTAACACAGGGGCCAAGGAAATGGCAATGGATAGTTCGAAAGAAAGGGCTCGAACGACGCTGGAAGATCGCCGGACTAATAAATGAGACCGGAAAAAAAAGAGAACAAAAAAATGACCAATTCTAAAATTTTCAACGGACACAACGAATATCTCGAACAGATATAAGATATATAAGCTACATTAAGCACATCTCACAACTCATCGTCAATCGCAGGTGGTTCAGAAGGGGATCTAAGAATTTCATCATACCACACACACGCACACATCTCTACCTCGATGTACCTGATTGCTGCTCAACGATTGATTAATTTTGTTTGTTCTGTTTGCCATGTTAGATGGGCCCGCGGTTGTCCGCGTCAACATATTTGTTCGAAGTATCTCAAAAATAGATGACGTTACTATGGTAAGTTGAAAAAGAATGCAACGCCCCGTGATCACAGACACACACATGTGCCTTTTTTATATATATATATATATATATA